TAATAGTAATAAAAACAACAACAATAATACTATATTTATAATAATAAAATAATAATAATAATCACGATGATATTTATAAAATTAGTAATAAAATATAATAATAATATATTTACAATAATAATAATAATAAAACAAAAATAATAATAATAATAATAATAGTATTTTTATAATAATAAAATTATTATTATTATAAATATATTATTATTGTTTATTTGATGTTTCAGTTGTTTATTTTATTTAGTATTATAGCATTTCCTTTTATTTTATTTTTTCAAATTTGACTACAAATTTAGTTTAAGTTTTAATTATTGCATGTGTGTGTATTTTTTTATTTTTGTCATTTTTGTTTTGAATTTGAGGATGAGAAATAATAATCAACACAGCCCCCAAACTCCCTATCTGCAAACTGTAGCCTCGCCGGAAAGCATCGCTCCCTCCCACGATCTCTCACAGGCCAAAAATATCTTCAAGGACATATCATATTCAGGATACCACCTGTTTATTTCTCACCCTTTGGCAGGTGGTACAGATCTTACAGAATAAAAACATTCATGATAACATACTGTTAGTACAAAGTAGTAAACAATAGCACTTTCTGAACACGTTACTCATCAGAACTTTATAAGAATCATATCAGCACTGGTGGGAGACACTTAGTGTCCCACCATTTCAGCCAAGTCACACTGCTATGAGTTCGATTTTGTGTTTATGCAAAAATTCAACTGTATAATCATGTGTATAAAAAAAAATCAAACACAGAGAGTCTAAATATCTTTCTTCCGCCGTTCATTCACATCTGCAGGTGACATCAGAACAGCAGAAACTGTTGCTACTTCAGCAACATTACTTTAGAGCTAGTATTTGAATGATTCTCTAGCGTAATGTCTAAAGTGATGACAAAACATGTGATAGCGCTCACATTTTAAGATTATAAGGCTGAACAGCATGAAATGCCATCAGTCTACAGAGATTTCCCAGTATTTTTCTGTTGCAATTGGGAGATCACAATAACTAACTCCAAAAAAGCTAAACACATGCGGGAATTTCTTCTTTTTTTCTGTTTACTGAACTAATCTGCAGTAACGAGAACAGGTTACTCATTATAAACAGACAGATGGCCAACCAAAAAGTTACTCAGCATGGTTTCTGCTATATTTATTCTTCCATGGCGGGGCGCCACGGCAAAATTAATCCTGTCACGGCTACATTACAGCTTCTCATTCAAAACACTGTCGTGTTTTTTTTAATAGCGGGTGATAATCGCACCAAAACGTATTAAAAAGTAAGTGAGTTATAACAGAGCGAACTTTTCTGTAACCATAGTAGTGCTGTGCGCTGTTTGTTTAACTCTTTAAGGTTACGTGCTGACTGACTGGCTGACTGACAGGTGCGTGATGTGTGAGGCCAGCAAACACGACGTATAGCCGTTTTACTTCACTTCAGGACGCATTAATGTCGCTCTGTAGGTCTATTAGAGACATTCATAAATATTCCTAGCAAATATAATAAGTGTTGGAGACATACTCGTTACATAAACGCACTAAATCGCACTTCAGCAGTGTTTATTTGAGAGTGCACAAAATCTGCGCTTGAGCAGCTTATATTTGAGGGGGTGTGCAAGAAGTTGAGCACGAGCAGAAGAAATCGGCGAGCATGCAAAGAGACTCGCATGCTGTAGGCTATTACATAAATGCAATCTCGAATTGTAACACTGCGCTCATGACATTTGTTATTGAAACGCCACAGGTAGTTGGTAGATCTGAGAAAAAAGGCCTGCAGCCACAGCTGGAAAAAATCCTAGAGGAAACACTGCTCAGGGTTATATAAAGAGTGGCCAACACATAAGGTGCGTCCCAAATCGCATAATTATGCACTATTCTACGTCATTTTGCAGTATAAATAGTGTAAGTAGTGTGTTCACACTGAAAACTCTAAAAATAATAAGTGCACTGCACTTTAATTACCCGGATGATGCACTCAATGAGCTGGAAAAATGAACTGTGTAGTAGAGGTCTGCATTCCCGCGGCTGTCCCGCGGGCGCAGCAGGACCCGACCAGATTTCTGCGGCGTGGGAATAAATCTGCGAATAAATTGCGGGAGCGGTCAGTAACGGGTTTAATTTGGGACGGGAGCGGGCTGTCTAGCAATATCGCGGATATTGCTATGCGAATGAGAGAGAGAGACAGAGAGAGAGAGAGAGAGAGCGAGCTTTGCCTGTGTGTGTGCTTGGTGCTTGTGTGTGTGTGTATGTTAGTGCGCGCGCGAATGAGAGAAAGAGAGAGAGAGAGAGAGAGAGAGAGAGAGAGAGAGAGAGAGAGAGAGAGAGAGAGAGAGAGCTTTCCCAGATAGCAAAATACACTCGGGCCAGTTCTGGCTAGATTCTCGCCTGCCGGAGACTTACCACTCGGCCCGGCTCCGGCTGCCGGACTCCGGATGCTTGTGGACTCACTGCCCGATTCCAGCCTGAATCAATCGGGCCAGATGGCGTAAGCGAGCCAATGCTGCCGCATCCGCGCCGGAATCGGCCCGAGAGTAATGTGCGCTGCGGCCCAGAGCTGGCGCGACTCAGTATTTATATACCTTTATATAAAACCTTTTGGTATTACATTGGTACTTGATACATCGTATTACAAGCCTTTGAGTTGATATAACAGCAAACGCCTGTGTGTCTGCTTGGTACTTGTGTGTGTTAGTGCGCGCGTGCGTATGAGAGAGAGAGATTGGTCTGTGTGTGTGTGTGCTTGGTGCTGTGTGTGTGTGTGATATAGAGACAGCTTGGCTGTCTGGACTGTATAGCTAGGGGATTTTCGGTTTTATTCTCCCCCGCTCTTTAGCAGGATCGGGCGCGGCGGCCAGAAAACGGGGCGGGTCGGGCAGCGGGACAATAAATTCTTAATATAAGCGGGAACGGTCGGGTTCGGGCGGGAGCGGGATTCAAAATTTGGTCCCGCGCAGATCTCTACTGTGTAATGATGGTCACTTCCAGTCTGATCTCTGAAGGTGTGGATCTTTGTCAATATTTTTGAGAAGACAAACACTCTCCAATCTTAAGAGAAAATATTTTTATAATAATATTAATATAATAATATTTGCAAGAATAATAATAATAATAATAATAATAATAATAATAAAAATAATAATAATATTTATAATAAAAGTAATAAAAACAATAATAATAATAAAACAAAAACAACAATAATAACAATCATGATGATGACATTTATAATAATAATAATAATAATTATTATTATATTTATAATAATAGCAATAAAAACAACAACAATAATAATAAAACAACAACAACAATAATAATAATAATAATAATAATAATAATAATAATAATAGTAGTAGTAGTAGTAGTAGTAATAATAATAATAATAATATAGTTATAATAAAAGTAATAAATAAATAATAATATTAATAACCATGGTGACGATATTTATAATACTAGTAATGAAAACAACAACAACAACCATAATAATAATAATATTTATAATAATAATAAAACAACAACAACAACAACAACAACAATAATAATAATAATGACAATATTAATAATAATACTTGTAATAATACTTGTAATAATAATAATAATAATAATAATATTAATCATGATGATGATATTTATAATAATAGTAACATAAAACAACAATAATATTATATTTACAATAATAAAAAATAATACTAATCATGATGATGATATTTATAATAATAGTAACAATAAAATTAATAATAATAATAATAATAATAATAAAACAACAATAATAATAATAATCATGATGACAACATTTAATATAATAGTAATAAAAATAATAATATATTTATAATAAAAAATAAAACAGTAATAATAATAATACGTTTAATAATAATAAAATAATAATAATAATAATAATAATATGTATAATAATATGTATAATATGTATAATAATAATAAAACAATAATAATAATAATTATGATGACGATATTTATAATACTTGTAATAATACTTATAATAATTATAATAATCATGATGAAAGGCTATAATTAATAATTCAGCTCATATCAATTGTTTGCAACCATTCATTCATTGATTGATTTTCCTTTGGCTTAGTCCCTTTATTAATCAGGGGTCTCCACAGCGAAATGAACCACCAACTATTCCAGCATATGTTTTACACAGCGGATACCCTTCCAGACACAACCCAGTACTAGAAAACACCTATACACACTCATTCACACTCATACACAACTGCCAATTTTGTTTACCCAACTCACCTATAGCACATGTGTTTGGACTGTGGGGGAAAGCAAAGCACCCAGAGGAAACCCACGCCAACATGGGGAGAACACAAAATGCCAACTGACCCAGCTGAGGCTTGAACCAGCCACCTTTTTGTGGTAAGACGATAGTGCTAACCACTGAGCTACCATGCTCCTCTATTTGAAACGACTATTTCCCCTTTGTAAATGCAATGAATCCTTTTTATCACTGCCTCCTCTGACCCTGAGAGGGTTAAAGCAAAAACCTGCAATGCAAATCAGTCATTTGCAGGTCTTGAAGCAGCTGTTGGCTCAGAAACCATCAAGTAGGCCGTCACTGCTAAATTGCTCATTACCTGAGAATCACAGAATGACCACACTAGCGAAAGCCTCCAAATTGGCTGTGAGAAAGCCTCCAAAAGCCATTTCTCAAAGCGCAAAGCTAGCACTTAAAGACACCCACACTCGTGCGCCTGACGGAAAATTACAACTCGCTGCAGAGTCGCATACGTAAGAGCGAGAAACCGTAAACAGAAACTCACGGAAAACAAAACAAAATTAAATCTCCTTTGTATTTCCAAAAGGGATCGAAATCCCGCTTATTTAATTCTCCAGTAGAGTTATGTGACTTTTATGAGGAGAATTACACTCGCCACAAATTGCGCTCAACAATTCCAATACTTTAGGGCTGGACCACTTTAAAATGGCTCTGCGCTGCGATTATAAATATAACTGTTTTACGGCTGTGTTATTACGCACTGAGAAGGGGGAGAGCGGCCCGATCCTGTGGCTGTAGCGCCTGATGGCCTCTCTGATGTGGGCTGGCTGGATGGCACTGCTCTGAGTCTCTGATACACACGCTGCTGCGCTCTGAAACACACAGTACAGCTCGCATTAGTGCTCATTCAAAAACACTGTGGGAGTCCTGCAGCTTCATGAATACATACACACACGAACAGACGCAGACACATACACATACAAAGACACACGCACACATAAAAAGAAACACACACACATATATACACACACACATATACAAATACACAAACAAATACACACACACACACACACACACACGCACACGCACACGCACACGCACACACACACACACACACACACACACACACACACACACACACACACAATAAAAAGCATAAACATTTAAACAAACAAATTAACACACACAAATGCAAATACACACACACACACACACACACACACATATATATACAAACACTATTACATATACTAACACAGTTCTGCAGATTTATGAATACATACACAAAATAATGCACGCACTTATACACACATACAAAGATACGCACACACATACAGACACACACACACACACAACTGCTCGTCACCTATAGATATCAACACTGTGTCATTTGTTGCTTTATGAACTTCTGCTATGTAACAGGCTAAGAGCAAACTCTGCGTGTGATTGGCTGTAATTGCAGTATTCTCTGTAGACATTAAAGGGAAGGGAACATTTCTGTCTCTGCATCTCTTTTCAGACAAAGGAAAAACAACTTCCCTATTTGGATGTTTGTAATAAACATCAGAGGAACTGGAGTCAGTAAAACAGGATGAAGAGGAAAACACTGAAGCTGCGTCCCAAAAGGCACACTATACACTATGCACTCATGCACTATGTACTTATGCACTTACACACTCAACAGGATAGTATATGTATGTAGTGTCGTCCCAAATGGCACACTAATGTTTTTTTACTAAGCGGAAATTCAAACCGTTTCCCTGATGACGTTTGACGGTTGCCAAATCATTGAAGTAAACGGCCGAATTATCAAATAACACCTGCTGGGAGTATTGCCACATTCACCATCAGGAGGCGCTATAATCACTCTCGTAGGAGAATTTTGCTTTCACCATCCAAAATAAATAAAGTTATCCAACACGTGCGTCCGATAGCTCCGCCCCTTCCGATACGTAAGCAAACCTGCGGTCGTTAAGTGCGTGAAGTGTCCATCATTACACACTTCATTTTAGCGGCTGAATGAGTGCATCATCCGGGTAATTAAAGTACACTTAGTATTTTTAGAGTTTTCAGTGTGAATGCACTACTTACACTATTTATACTACAAAATGGCGTAGAATAGTGCATAAGTATGCGATTTGGGACGCAGCTAGAGACTTGTTCTCCACTAATGTTTGGAAGAGTCTACAACAAACATTACAGTGACCCCGGGCTTCTTCTAGTGTAACACACACGCATGGTAAAGAACTTCTGGGTAAATTAGAGAGTTTAAGGATATATATATATATATATATATATATATATATATATATAATACATTATATGTAATATCTATCTATTTAACTGTGTGTTGATCTATCTGTCTGTCTGTGTTTCTATCTTCCTGTCTGTCTGTCTGTCTATCAATCTATCTGTCTGTTTGTCTATTTATTCATCTGTCTGTTCGTCTATCTATTTAACTGTCTGTTGACCTATCTGTCTGTCTGTCTTTCTGCCTGTCTTTCTCTCTACCTGTCTGTCAATCTATCGGTCAATCTATCGGTCAATCTATCGGTCTATCTATCGGTCTATCTATCGGTCTATCTATCGGTCTGTCTGTCTGTCTGTCTGTCTGTCTGTCTGTCTGTCTGTCTGTCTGTCTGTCTGTCTGTCTGTCTGTCTGTCTATCTATCTATCTATCTATCTATCTATCTATCTATCTATCTATCTATCTATCTATCTATCTTCCTGCCTGTCTGTCTGTCTGTCTGTTTATATATCCACATGTCTGTCTGTCTATCTGTCAGTCAATCTATCTATCTGTCTTTCTATGTATCTATGTCTGTCTGTCTGTCTTTCTATCTACATGTCTGTCTGTCTGTCTGTCTGTCTGTCTGTCTGTCTATCTTTCAGTCAATCTGTCTGTCTGTCTGTCTGTGTTTCTATTTACCTTTCTGTCTGTCTGTCTGTCTGTCTGTCTGTCTGTCTGTCAGTCAGTCAGTCAATCTGTCTGTCTGTCTGTCTGTCAGTCAGTCAATCTGCCTGTCTGTCTGTTGATCTATCTGTCTGTCTGTCTTTCTATTTACCTGTCTGTCTGTCTGTCTGTCTTTCTATGTATCTGTCTGTTGATCTATCTGTTTATCTGATAGTCTATCTATCTGTCTGTCTGTCTATCTATTAATCTGTCTCTCGCTCTCTCTGTCTGTCTGTCTGTCGGCAACATTTGTGTACCTTCTTCCTCTTCCTCTGTTTGGCTTTACTGCTGGCATCTTGATTGGGTCCACCATTGCCCTGCGCCAGCGAGTGCATCTTCCCTTGGTGTCCCGCGCCAGACGGAGTGGATGGAGGGGTGTTATCTGGAGAATCCAAATCCTTTTTGCTGCTCGAAGCCTTATAACAGACCAGAAAATAAAATACAAATGTATTAAATTATCTTGTTTTACTCAGTCTATCCATCCAATATAAAAAGTACAAGTTTATAGAAATAAAGGTGCTGTCATTATTGTTCCTTTTTCTTTCTTATTCAAGTTAAAATGAAAGTTTATTTGTTTCACAACAATTAATGTCACAAAGCAGCTTTACAAAATGTGCTGATTATTGCATTACAATCACAAAAAAGAAAAAAAAAGTTAAAGGAAAGTTAAAGGGCCCCTATAATGAAAAAAAAAAATAATAATAACAAATATATATATAGTTATATATATATATATAACATCATCTTCATTATTATTACTGTCATTATTATTGTCATAAAAGTACAAAAGTCTTGTTAGAACCCCTGTAAGCCTCCATGATTTTTCAATGAGTATATATAGTATACATAATCAATGTCAATACAGTTGCTATATATGGTTCTTCATCTAGTAAAGGGGTAAAGAAGCTGTACACCTGCTACAAATAGTTTTACTAGTGAACTGTCTTGCTTCTATTGCCCTCATTTGTAGGTTGCTTTAGCTATATGAACAAATCTAAATAGTAAACTTGGAGAAATGCTAATCATATACACAAAAACGTGGATATATTTCTTTTATTTTGGAGTGTTGTCATCAGACGACTGCTTACGGAGACTAGCATGTGCTCGTCCTTCTACACATAAACATCTTCAAGCAAACAATGGCTTTAACGCAACTTCTGACGTAAAAAAAAGAGGTCAGGGCTACAAAACAACCGAGCACAACCCTGAAAACATCACCTGCAGTCTTACGACACGTCTCGGCTCTATCGCTCAAACCACAGGCTCATATTCTGGCACACGGGAACGCCATCGACCCCCAAGGTTTAGCAGAAAAAACAATGCTGGAATTCAGGCTAAAATAAAAAAGAAAATAGCCTGTGTGGCCTTGGCGGCAGAGGCAGATGAGGTTCCTGTGGTTTCAGTGACAGTGAGGTCCATGCAGGGAATGGATCCACAGCTCAAAACCACCTTGGACAAACTCTTGGCGGCTCTGTTTGGCAAGTGGTCAAACCCACAGAGCAGGACACACACATGTTTGCTTTCTCTTCAAATGACCATCTCTACAGGAGCGTTATCAGCACTGAGACCATTTTAACTAGTCCGCTGTTTTATCAGAATACGGTAGGACATAATTTAAAGTGGGCCTGTTATGTAACCGCACCTTGCTTATACATTTGCATATATGCATTTAAATTTTACATAAGTTTATTTATTATTTGCTGGCATGTGGTGGGTTTGGGGTTTGTTTTTTGAAAATGTGAAAAACTTTAAATAAAGTATTTATAAAAAAAAAGAAAATCATGCGGTCAATTGACAATTATGGCCATTCAAGGCAGAAAACACTCTGTAGTACCTTGGCATTTTTAACTAAATCAAAATGTTAGAATGAAATATACACACATTTAGAAAAAGTCAAGCTCTATCGGGTTGGATGGGAAGCGACAGTGTACAGCCATTTTCAGATCTCTGATGTTCAATAGGATCTAGGTCTGGGCTCTGGCTGGGCCACTCAGGGACATTCACCCAATTGTTGTGAAGCGACTTCATTGATATTTTAGCAGTGTGCTTTGGGTCATTGTCCTGCTAGAAGATGAACTGCCGCCCAAGTTCAAGAGTAAAAGTTTTCATTCAGGATGTCTCTGTACATTGCTGCATTCATCTTTCCCTCTATCCTGACTAGTCTTGATGCTGCCACCACCATGCTTCACTGTAGGGATGGTGTTAGCCTGGTGATGAGCGCTGCCTGGTTTTCTTCAAATGTAACGCCTGGCATTCACTCCAAAGAGTTCAATTTTGGTCTCATCAGACCAGAGAATTTAGTTTCTTATGGTCTGAGAGTCCTTCACATGCCTTTTGGCTAATTCCAGTCGGGGAGTGGCTTCCGTCTGGGCACTCTACCATACAGGCCTGACTGGTGGACTGCTGCACAGATGGTTGTCCTTCTGTAAGGTTCTCCTCTCTCCACAGAAGAACGCTGGAGCTCAGACAGAGTTCTTCTCACTCGGATCACTCAGCTTAGACGGCTAAGCTCTAGGAAGAGTCCTGATGGTTCCAAACATCTTCCACTTAACGGATGATGGAGGCCGCTGTGCTCAATGGAACTTTTAGTGAAGCAAAAAATTTTCTGTAACCTTCCCCAGCCTTGTGTCTCGAGACAATTCCTTTGTCTTCATGCTTGGTTTGTGCTTTGACATGCACTGATAGCCCTGGGACCTTCTATAGACAGGTGTATGCCTTTTCAAATCATGTCCAATCTACTGAATTTATCACAGGTGAACTCAATGAAGCTGCTGAAACATCTCAAGAGTGATCAGTGGAAACAGAATGTACCTGAGCTCAATTTAGAGCTTTACGGCAAAGGCTGTCAATACTGATGTACATGGGATTTTTCAGGTTTTTTATTTTTAATAAATTTGCAACAATTTCAAAAAAACTTTTTTCACGTTGTCATTATGGGGTATTGTGTGTAGAATTTTAAGAAAATAAATAAATTTAATTCATTTTGGGATAAGGCTGTAACATAAAGAAATGTGGAAAAAGTGAAGCGCTATGAATACTTTCTGGATGCACTGTATATTGTTTATGACCATCATATCCGGTTTGTTGCATTTGTTTTTTACTTTTTAATCGATTTTGTACTGTTATATACTGTATTTTTATTTATGTTTTTCATTTTACTTTAAACATAATTATTATTTAACATAATTTTCATTATGTTTTCTTTTACTTTTGTTTGTAAACAGTCACAAAAAACTGATTAATCAGTTCTAGTGTGAAATAAAGCTGTGTGTGTGTTCACCTCAGCCGAGGAGCTGCAGTACTGGATGTAAGTTGCAGAAATGGCGTGCTGAAACGGATCACCAGTTTTGGGAGTCATATCTTGTTTAACCAACAGAGCAAGGTCAACAACCTAAAACACAAAAACCATATCAACTTATGAGTAATCGCTTGAAGAACAAGTTGATAACACTTATTTTACCCCAAAAAAACATCAAATCAAACAATCAAAGCACTGACGGGGCTCTAGTTTCTGTTCCAATATTCAATAATACAATATATCATGATAATAAACATGCAAATTGTTATGGTGGACACTTCAATTCACTTACTGTGAATTACTGGAATTTCCTAACATCGATACGATACCTTGAAAAATATCGATATCTGATACCATTTTCGATACTGCGAGAAACCCAATATTACAGTATCGATACTTTTTTTGACAACACAGATTGCCTTAAAAGAATATTCAGATTATTGTATCAATCGACCTCAATAAATCCACCTTTATTTATATAGCACCTTACTACAACCAAAGTTGACCAAAGTGCTTTACTCAAGTACAGTAAAAACAAATTATTCAGTTGTGTTTCCTGACTAACATTAACAAAACTGTAATTAATATTTAAGCTACATATAATATTATTTAAAATTTACAACCTATTCTCATTGTAGGATTTATTTATTGCACTAATTAACATTAAATAATAATAATATTATTCAAGTGTTACCATCTGTGCTTTATAAGTGTTAAAAAGTTTATTGTTAGTTATTCATTTATGGTAATAATTTTTTATTAATTTTATTTCTCTCTATTTATTTATATTTATTTTATTTTATTCTATTTTAATTATTTGTCACATTTTTACTTCGCAATCATTTATATAGATTTAGGTTTTAATTTCCCCTATTATATATAATTGATCATTTTTATTTTTCCCTATTTATTTAATTCATTCTATACTACTACTTTAATTACTTTTCATTTTTTGTTTTACATTCATTTATATATTTTTTATTATTTTATTTTTCACTATTTATTTATATTTTAATTATTTTATCCTATTTTAATTATTTTTTCACATTTTTTCTTTAGGTTTTACTTTCCCCTTTTATTTATATTATATTTTTATTTTTCTCTATTTCTCTCTTTCTTTCTTTCTTTCTTTCTTTCTTTCTTTCTTTCTTTCTTTCTTTCTTTCTTTCTTTCTTCTATTCTATTTAAATATTTTTTTCTTTTTGTTTACATTAATTTATTTATACACACGTTTAAATATTTTTTTCTCTATTTATTTATATTTTAATTATATTTCACATTTATTTGCAATCATGTATATAGATTTAAGTTTTACTTTCTCCATTTATTTAGCATTATATTTTTCTCTATTTGTTTATTTATTTTATTTTATAATACTTTAATTATTTTTTATTTTTTGTTTACATTTACATACACACACACACACACACACACATATATATATATATATATATATATATATATATATATATATATATATATATGTATATGTATGTGTGTGTGTGTGTGTGTGTGTATAAATTATATATTACCTGTTTCCTTTGTTTTTAGTATTTTTCTTTTTTATTTATATTTATCAATTTGTTTACTTATTTTATTTAATTTATTTTTCATATTTTTATTTTTTAACATTTATTAATTTTTCTCTTTATTTATAATTTAAGTATTTTTATTTTTCAGTTTTTATTTATTTATATTCCTCAATTTCTCTTTCTTTTTTTTTTTACTTAATTTATTTTACTCCAATTCCCTTTTTTTACTTCAGTAAATTACACAATTTACGCAAGTTCCTTCATCTAGCTTGTGTCTTTTTGATTTCTTGTTGTTTGAGTGTGCAGACTTTCCTTTAGTTATTTCATTCTTTTCTCACCTGTGCCACGGTCTCATAGGCCAGATATGACAGGATCTCCATAGACATTGCATTGGGCTTCACATCCAGACTGCTGCAGTCCAGCCATTCACGAAACTTAGACGCCTTCTTAGCTAAACAGAGAAACATTTCAGTCATTCTTAAAAAGAGCCATTTGTTTGAAAAGAATAAATAAATAAATAAATACACACTTTTCCATTATTGCCATATAAATATACAAGAAAATTACAAGGCAGTATAAGATAACAGAAGGTAAATAAATGCAATGTAACAAAAAAGCATTTGTTGAAAGAAAATAAAAAATCCACACTCTTCCATGCTATTAAACAAGCATAGCAAATCCTCTACTAAAAATTTTAAGCACAATGACTATTTAATTCCTAACATTTCCTATTAAACCAAAAACTTTTCAATCTCCGGCCGGTGTCGTGTTTTTGGTCCTATTTTCAGCTGTACTTATATTATATGTGAAACTTTTTAGAAATATTTCTATTGTTAGGGCATCCTTGTCATGTAAAAAAACAGACAATTATAACATAGTATAAGACAATGTTTCCCAACCCTGTTCCTGAAGGCACAGCAACAGTACACATTTTCAACCTCTTTCTATTCAAACACACCTGAATCAACTCATCAGAACATAAGAAGAGACTTTAAAACCTGAAGATGATTGGTCAGATTAGGAGACATGCAAAATATGTACTGTTGGTGTGCCTACAGAAATAGGGTTGGGAAACACTGGTAAAAGATAACAGAATGTCAATGTACACTCACCGGCCACTTTAACAGGTACACCAGTCCAACTGCTTGTTAACACAAATTTTAAATCAGCCAATCACATGGCTGCAACTCAATGCATTTAGGCATGTAGACATGTCAAGGCGATCTGCTGCAGTTCAAACCGAGCATCAGAATGGGGAAGAAAGGGGATTTAAGTGACTTTGAACGTGGTATGATTGTTGATTTCAGAAACTGCTGATCTACTGGGATTTTTACACACAACCATCTCTAGGGTTTACAGAGAATGGTCTATAAAATGAGAAAATATCCAGTGAGCGGCAGTTCTGTGGGTGCAAATGCCTTGTTGATGCCAGACGTCAGAGGAGAATGGCCATACTGGTTTCAGCTGATAGAAAGGCTACAGTAACTCAATTAAGCACTCGCTACCACCGAGGTCTGCAGAAGAGCATCTCTGAACACACAACATGTCCAACCTTGAGGCAGATGGGCTACAGCAGCAGAAGACCACACCGGGTGCCGCTCCTGTCAGCTAAGAACAGGAAACTGAGGCTACAATTCACACAGGCTCACCAAAACTGGACAATAGAAGATGTGAGAAACGTTGCCTGAGTCTTGATTTCTGCTGCGACATTTAGATGGCAGGGTCAGAATTTGGCGTCAACAACATGAAAGCATGGATCCATCCTGCCTTGTATCAACAGTTTAGGTTAGTGGTGTAATGTGTGGGGGATATTTTGGCCCATTAGTACCAATTGAAAATCGAGTCAACACCAAAGCCTACTTAAGTATTGTTGCTGACCATGTCCATCCCTTTATGACCACAGTGTACCCCTCTTCTGATGGCTATTTTTAGCAAGATAACGCGCCATGTCATAAAGCACGAATCATCTCAGACTCATTTCTTGAACATGACAATGAGTTCACAGTACTCAAATGGCCTCCACAGCCACCAGAGCTCAATCCAATAGAGCACCTTTGGGATACGGTGGAACGGGAGATTCGCATCATGGAAATCAAATCTGCAGCAACTGCGTGATGCTATGATGTCAATATGGAGCAAAATCTCTGATGAATATTTCCAGTAGCTTATTGAATCTATGTCTTGAAGGATTAAGGCAGTTCTGAAGGAAAAAGGGGGTCCACCCCGTTACTAGTAAGGTGTACCTAATAAAGTGGCCAGTGAGTGTATGTACAGTAATGTAACAAAAAAAAGCCATTTGTTTTAAAAAATGTACACTTTTTCCTCAATGCTATTAAAGCAAGCATACCAAATACTCTGCTCTAAATTTACATGAGCACAATGACTATTTAAATCCAAACATTCCCTATTAAACCAAAAGCTTCTCGATCTCCGGCCCGTGTCGTGTTTTTGGTCAGATTTTCTGTCTACTCAGCATCATGGTTGTATAACGGGGTTATTCAGGCACGCTTGCAGAGCTGCCATCCCAACATGCAGTTCGGTGCCAGACAGCATCTTATTATTAGTGCTGAAATGTGGCCTTCAGAAGCCAGCAGTGGTGTGTTCATCATCCCGCAGCCGCGTTCTTACAAGGCCTCGGGTGAAAAAAGCTGCCAACCCAACAACTCATCAGAGACTGTATCTGACGTACTGTATATCTGACACTATCTGATCTACAGACACACACAACCATATAAAGTTGCAGTCAGAATTATTAGCCCTTCTGAATTATTAGCCCTCAAGATCATTTAGGTCCCCAATTTCTGTTTAACGGAGAGATTTTTCTCAACACATTTCTAAATCTTTTATCTTTAGCTTAACCCTCTGGAGTCGAAGACCGCGTATACGCATTTTGATCTGTAGTGTGGTCAAACTGCTGAAATGAACTTAAATTACACTTTCAGTTTTGATCGTAGAGATAAGATCAATACATCAATCGAATCTGTTATGTCTACTTTTTGTTGTGTACACTCACAACAACAACAACAAACGTGTGTGCTTTTGCAAAATAAGGTAAACAAACAGTGTTGGCATTCTGTTCTCTCTCTCTGTGATCTGCTTTCAGAAACGCGTCAGTAAAATGCGCTGAAACTCAGCGAAAACAAAACACACAGAGATGAGACATGTATCTCTAGAAAGCTTGAAGTGTCTACTTTTAATGCAGCTATGCATGTTGAAAACAAACATTGCTTGATAAGGTAATCAGTATGAAACCAACGCTATGTTCTCAGTCTGATCTCATTAGTTTTTATGCGACCACGCCCACGAGGCATTGTTATTACAAGCGTCTGCATAAGACGCGTGCAGACTGTGGTCAGAAAAACACGTCACTAAAATGAAAGGAAGCTCGGCAAATAGTCAGCAAAAATGATGATTTATGATATCTATATAAAGCTTGATATGTCTACTTTTGCATTAATCAATTCAAGTCGAAAACAAATAACCTCTTTTTATGCTCATTATGCAGGTCTTTGTCTTCTCAGGTGTGACTCAAGGCTGATTTATACTCCTGCGTCAAACGCACGCGTATGCTACGGCACAGCGATCCACAGAGCTTTACTTTGACATTTCCTTAAGCGAGAATGATGTCGACTGAAACTTTGTGGTAAACCATATATGTAGAGTGCAACAGCAAAGAGCTTGTTTAGAGCTTTTATGAGCTTGATTACAATTTACACATATTTAGACATGATAAGTCATACTGTGACACAAATAAAATTAATAAAATATAAATGAATAAATAAAAAAATAAAAATAAAGTAAAAATTTTTATAAAGAAAGAATAAAATAAATAATAAAATAAATAAATACGATAAAATATAAAATAAAAATAGTAAATAATAAAATAAAATGAAATAAAATATTTTTTAGATAAATAAAATAAATAAATAATACAATATAAAATTAAATATAAATAGACAATAATAAAATAAAAATAAATAAATAAGACTTACTAATAAAATTAATAAATTGTCAAATAAAAAATAAATAAATAGCAAATAATAAAATAAAATGAAAAAAATAATAAATAATAAAAAATTGAATAAATAAATAATAAACAAATAATACAATACAATGAAATAAAAAAATATATACATATATATATAAAAAATAAATAAATCATAAAATAAAAAAATAATAATAAATAATAAAATTAAACGAAATAAAATGACCCTGAATGCAAATACGTGCTATAGTTAACAGATCAATTCAGAATTACCAAACACAGCAACACACACATGACAAACCAGTATACGCATCCTGAATGTGTGTGGATACATGAACATCTTGAATTGCATCAACCTAATAAACTCCTGACTCCCAAGATCATTAAACAGTATTACAGTATGTGAACTATGCTAATGATGAAATTTAGTGTGCTTCAGTGATGTATTTGCTTTAAATGACTCCAGCACATTAAGGATTCTGTATGGCATGCTTTAACGCATTAACATTGACTGCTTGGCTGTACTTTCAGTGCAGTAGAAATCATTGTGCATAAACGCATCTGTCAAATGCTAAATATGAAAGTAATAGTGTACATAAATAAAAGACTCACAGAAACTCAGCTGGCGGCTTTCGCAGAATTCACTGTACTGACTGGAGTCCATGTTTCTGGTCATCTTCTCAATTCTCTGTAAAAATAATGACAAGAACATTAATTATAATCACGTGTCAACATCACAAAACGCTCAAACACTTTCCTTCAGCATACTCCCGTTTTATGAGGAGTCACCATAGTGGAATGAACCACCAATTACTCTGGCGATTGCTTTACACAGTGGATGCACTTTTAGCCACAACTAAACACTGAGAGAATGCATTAACTCATAAACCCCCAGTGCAGGGAACCACCCACACACTCTCCCATTCTCACACTAATTCCAACTTCATTTATTCAATACACAAAATGCATCTCAAAGAAAATGTGAACAATTAATTATTTTAAATAAATTCAAGGCTTTGAGGCTTAGGTTTCAGGCTAATTAAGGTTAAGGCTAGGTTTATTCCATTTAAGGCTAGGTTTATTAAATAAAATATAAAAATATTGCAAATATTTTTACAAATTTTAATTTGCTATTATAATATATCTTCAAATATAATTAGTTCCAGCAATGTCAGGCTGATTTTTTGTGTCACATGATCCTTAAGAAATCAATCTGATTTAGTAACCAAGAATACATTTCCAACGCTGGCAAACAGTTGTTTTGCTAAATACTTTTCAGCGTGTATATATAGTCAAGCCCGAAATTATTCATACCCCTGGCAAACTCTGACTGAAAGTTTTTGTTCAAATGTAAATAAAAGCTGAAATATTTATATATTTTTTTCCCACAAATATGCCTCTTGTACATTGTATTATTATCTTGCAGGAGAAGCCTGTGTCATTTCTGCTAAAATAAATAAATAAAAAGTTTTAAAAATTGCTGTTTGAATAAAAGTAACATTAAATCAGAATTTGATAGGGTTATGACCAATTTCGAGCTTAACTGTATATAGTTAATACAAAATACAATTGATAATAAATACACAGAATATTTGTAGGAAGCTATACAATATTGCATGTGTATATACATTAGATTAGTCAGTACTGAAGCTAAATGTGGAGCTCATCCAACAAAAAAACTTATGAAAACAGTCCAAAAACTAGAACATCAAATTTTATATGTTATAGAAAAAATATTAAATACAATTTTTTTTTGTTAATTTTTAATTAATAAAGTTTTTGTAGGTTGTAAATTATTTTTGATTAATTTGCTTAATTTTAATTAATAATTTAAAATAATATTTTTAAAAATAATATATCTTTTTAATTAATTTGCTTTATATATATATATATATATATATATATATATATATATATATATATATATATATATATATATATATATATATTAAACAGATATATTATTTTTAAAAATAATATTTTAAATTATTATTTAATTTTTTTAAATAATTTAAATTATTATTTATTATATATATAAGCAGATTTATTATACATATATATATATATATATATATATATATATATATATATATATATATATATTAAACAGATATATTATTTTTAAAAATAATATTTTAAATTATTATTTAATTTTTTTAAATAATTTAAATTATTATTTATTATATATATAAGCAGATTTATTAAACATATATATATATATATATATATATATATATATATATATATATATATATATATATATATATATATATATATATATATATATATATATATATATATATAAAAGCTTCTTTCCTATGATAAATAATTTGTGTCTGTAGCCTACTGGAGTCTGCTGCTATTTCAAGTTAGGTAGGTGTAAATCCCCAAAATTAAGTGCTGGCTAAAGTGTAGATTGGATTTTTCACATTTAAAAGTATTCAACTGCTTGTGAGTGTCATGATTATGAGCATTTGAAGGTGAATCTGCCCTCCACTGTGATGGATTCAGCCTCAGCACCGTCATCTTTATTTCCCAGTTTTACCCCACATGATAAAACAGCCTACCATAACAAGAGAAGAGCCCGTCTGTGTAAACTTTGAGAGAGCCGCGCAGTAATGAACCCTCTTAATAGCAACCCAACAGGTTTGACTGGGATTTACAGCAGAGCGTGTTAAGTTGCAGGTCAGAACCTATAATTAGATGTTTCCTCATCCTGGACCAATTTCATACCTTCACTAACACTCAATTTGAGCTCTATAGCAGGCCGTGTGTCATAAAAAAAAGGGTTCAAGGTTTACGAGTGCTTTTTTTTCCCTCTCTTGTGCCACAAAGGATCTGTTTTACGGTCTAGAGAGATCCGCGTCTTGGAGCCGGGGTTAGCGAGAAAAGCGTCAAACTGGAAGTCTGACATGATGCTCGCGAGGCAGACTGGATCGCTTTCAGCCCACCCAAACCAACCGGAGTCTTTTTATTTAGTTAGCTGGCAGTCATTGGAAATTCCATCTTTGAAAATACATATTAATGATGGCGAGTGGCGGCTCGTTACACTGCGCTGGAACTGTGATTTCTATTAGTGTCGTTAAGAGGCGAGCGGAGGTCTCGTTTTGCAGCTCGGAGGGGGAATTCGCAGCAGTCTCGCTGTCTGGGTCTTGCTCCAAATTGGGCCGCGAGCGATACGAGACTGGAGCCGCTGCTCTTTTAAATAACTCTTGTGGAGCGGCCGGCCAGAGACAGGAGAAATGTTTTGACTGGGGCTTATTGACTGAAAAGAGCAGTGGGGGATTTGATGTTTGAAGACTATGTTTAGCCGCTGATTAAATCAAAACGTTGACCCACCTGCTAATAGCCAAATTATACCCACAACTGACGCGGGCCGGCCGTATAGGAGGACACAGGTAAATATTTGATTTGGCTGCTTTGGACTTTCATTCGGTGCCAGTGTGGTTTGGATAAAGGGAATCTCAATTTGTACCACCAAGATTTCCACAGGCTGACGCCCAAGATATATTGTGGATATCTAGAGAAGTGTAGTATATTTAGGTGTCACTGATTAACAGCCTGAGGCATCAGCGGGTCATTTAGTTGCTAAGCTAAGTTTGGATGATCAAACAGGATGGAGTTAAAATGTTTCTGGTGTTGATTTTTAAGTCTCAGAGGTAGGGATAAGCAATATGAACTTAAATATATCACAATAAATAAAATGAATTTAAAGTGTAGATTGCATTTTTCATGTTTGAAAGTATTTATTATTCAAGTATATTTGGTAAAAAAAAATATCATATGGCAGAATATATCTAATGTTATATATTATGGTCAATGGTGTTGGTTGGTTGGTTGGTTGGAGGGATGGATGGACAGAGGCATGGATGAATGGAATTGACTACATGAATGAATGGATGAAAAGACAAATGGGATGGATGGATGGATGGATGGATGGATGGATGGATGGATGGATGGATGGATGGATGGATAGATGGACAGATGGATTAATGGATAGATGTACTACATGAATGAATGCATGAAAAGAGGGATGGGATAGGATGCTTCGTTGGTTGGTTAGTTGGTTGGTTGAAGGGAGGGATGGATGGAGGGAGGGAATGGAGTACACTGTAAATGCGAATAGTATTCCTTACTATCAAAATTCTAGTGTGTTTACTTAATTTTAAGCTAATTGTTGAGTTTACTAGAAATGCATTAGTGTTGCTGACATAGTAAGGTATAAAGTTCCCATAACTAATGTAATTTGAGTAAAATTGCTTATAAGGGCTAAGCCATGCTGTTACGCATGCGTACTGGGTGGTGATTTCCCATCCCCCATCCCGAGTCACAACCAACCGACACCCAGCACCGCCATTGAAGGACAGGATTTCATATTGAGAAGATGTACTGCTGTAAATCAAGGTAAACTTTTCGTTTTAATTACTACTTTGATTTTATTTGTATAGTATCAGTAATCTGTTTATTTCCTGCACTTTGTGAAATTGTTTGCTGTTTTGTGAACTAATTAATAGCCCATGATGTTGTGACGTTTTGACCACTGCACGTTATTTGCAATACTGTCTACTTTACTAGATAAGCTATTTTTAGCTGCTTAGTCCTTTTTAATAACTATTAATAATTTGTAAAGTTAGTAGTAATTTGTAAAGATTTGCGTTATGCTCTAAAAGAGCGGGCCGCGCCATTTTAAATGATGCACTGAGAGAGCAAGAGCGCGCGCAATGATCCGTTCAAATAGATGTAAAGTTAACACATAGCTGTAGGTCTACATTTTTAAAAAAGAAAACGAAACCTATTTATCCGCATTACAAATACAGTAACGTTAGTTATCGCTGAACTTTAGTGGCGCTTGTTGTGACGAAAATATGCGTGTTTTTTAAAGATTTACTTTCATGAGATCACCTGCAGGAAGCAGGTGAGGAGATCAGCTGTGATTCGGTCCGGCGTCAGCGAGCGGCTCATGACCAGACCAGTCGTTTTTTTCTCCATGATCGCCGGGGCAGCAGCAGTTTTAACCCACCGAGGCTTTTAGAATATTATAAAGCAGTTTCAGCTCAAAATGGACCCGTGAGTGTCGTAGGTAATTTAGGATTTCGATGGGATTACGATTCGTGTCACTGTATGAGGCAGATACATATTTACACATGATGCTAAAGTGTGCTTATGCTAACAATCCCTATGAAACTTAAAGTTAAACTTATGAAAATGCGAGAGATATTTAATTAACTCATTTATTTGTTTTATATGCTATTTGTCTTTTCTTTATGCCGTTTTGAAGGTTTATTCCAGTGTTGCCGTTACGTTATTGAGTGTTTTGTATTGCTGTAATGACAAATAAATCTGACCAGACGCGACTGAATATGTGTGATGGATAACGTTAATGGTGAAGTGGTAAAACTCGTACAACCAAGCACAGAAACTTCACTTTGTTTGCTCAATATCACACAAAGGCATCAACAAGCCTTTGTTATAAGCAAACTTTCTGTAAAGAAACAGGCTTTGCCAAACCTGTTAGTTTGCATTTTTAAAGAAGGTTTCACTAATTTTTAACAATTTAGGGCAAATAAATTTGAACAATTACAAGGTTGTTTAAAATGTAGCGCACCATTAGAGTATTGTGAGTGGCATATTTGGTTTGTAATATCATTATACCCTTTATTTATTTTTTATTTCAGACTACCAGTTTGT